TCCTGACGTGCCGTGTGTGCCCCTGCCGCCCCCCCTGGGTGCAGGTGCAGAGCATGTCGATGGATGTGGGTGTGGAGGGCGTGGGGCCTGTGGCGCTGGGTTCGATGGACCACTCGGGGGAGGGCCCCCCTCACTCTGTGGACCTCGCCTCCGCCGTGGCAGCAACCATGGAGCAGCGGCGGCGCAACGGCAAGCTGGGGCAGGTCCAGGCGCGCGCGCCCCCGCAGTAGCAGTAGCAGCATGCGGGCCGGCGGGCTGCCTGGCCCTGGCCGTGGGCGTGACCGCATGCGCTCGCCCGCATGCCTGCCGAGTGCCGTGAAAATTGTCGGCACGTGCGGCCGGCGGCCCTTCTCCGCCTTTCTCTCCTCCCGTGTGCGCCCACTGCTGTGCCCCCCTGTATCTTCACCCCCTCGCACACTGCCCTTGCGCCCACCTCACTACAGCAGCTGCCGCGCCTCCCCCACCATGCCATACACCTCTCTCTATTGGGGAGGCCCCATGAGAACCAAACCCCTGCCTGATTGCGGCCCCGGCTGCTCCTGCTGTACCGCTGTACTGTGGGCGGCGACCCTCGGCTCATTGGCGCCATTTTTCGTAGTTGTGTCCCCCTGTCCCCTTCTTCTTTCCTCCTCGAGAGCTAGCAGCACTGAGAGCCTGTTTCTTGCCAGGCGGTGGCGACCAGGGGCAGCTGAGATGGGCGGCCGCGCTGCCGCCCTGCCCTGCCCCAGCAGCCGCCGCCGGGCGCCCCCCTCTGCACATCACATCTCACGCATCGCATTTCTAAGCTTATGACTGCTCGCTTCGCGCCCTGTTTCCCTCCATTTTGACGTCGCTCAAATCTGTGTTGCTACGGCACTGGCAGCGGGCCGGCCTCACGAGTGTACCCATCCCTTTCGCCCCCAGGGCGCCCCCGCCGGCCACTTGCCATCCCCTTCTGCGTCCTCCTCGGTAGTGCGTCAGCCCTCAGATCTGCCCTGCTTAGGTGTGTGTAAAGCGTCCAGCGAGAGGCGCCTCAACCGCCAGTCGGCCACGGCATGCAATCGCAACCACAATCCCTCACTGTGGCTGCTCTGCCTGCGTCTCTGCCTGCCGCTCCGCCTGCTGCTCTGCTGGCCCCTGGGCAGCCACGCCGGCATCCCCGTCGCCGGCGGGCGCCGCGCGCTGCGCCGCGCGCGCCCCCGCCGCCGCCTCCAGCATGCGCGCGTACGCTCGGTGCAGCACCTCCTCGTAGAAGCGCCGCTCCACGGCGTCCACCACCAGGCTCACAACCGCGTCGTAGGCTGTGCCCGCTGCCAGCGCCAGCTCGCCCTTGGGCAGCACCGCCACGCCGCATGCGTTGGACTCTGCGTGCTGCCGCAGCTTGGCGGGCGGCACGCTGAGCACCTGGATGTCCGCCACGCCGCTCCCGGTCTGCGCGGGGGTGGCGGCGGGGGTTTCGGGTGTTGGTTTGGCAGCAGGGCGGGAAGGGGTCGGCCTCTGGCCCGCAGTGGGAGGAGCGGGGAGGGAGGAGCGGTCCAGGCACCGGGCACCGCGCGGGGCGCGGTGCTCGCAGCGTCAAGGCAGGGGCGCGGCGGCAGGCAGGTGGCACGCTGTGCGAGGGGCCCACCTGCGCCAGGGAGCACTCTGCCAGCGCCTCGGCGTCCGCCAGCTCAGCAAACGCCACCAGGCGCCGCTCGCAGGTGGTGCCAGCGGCGGCGGCGCCGCCGCCGCCGTCCGCCGCCGCGCCGTCGGCTCCGCCGGCTGCCGCGGGAGCGGGCGAGGCCTGCTGCTCGCCGGCGGCGGCGGCGCCTGCCTCGCCGCTGGCCGCGTCGCCGCCGTCGCCGCCTGCGGCGCTGCCAGCGCTGCCGCCGCTGGCGTGCAGGAAGTCTGGCACGCAGATGGGCACAGTCATGAGGCCCTTGGTGCCGCCTCCATACAGCAGCTGCGGCACGTGCAGCACCGGCAGCGCCAGCCACCAGTCGGCATCCAGCTTGGCGGGGGGCCGCCGCCGCGTCTGTTCCTCCCACCAAGGGTCCACGCCCTGCCTGGCCGCGGCGGCAACCTCGGCAGCCCGCTGGCTCTGCATGTCGCCGGGCCGCTGCGGCGCCGCCGGCCCCGCCGCCTGCTCGGCCTGAAGCGCAGGCGGCGGGGCTGCCTGCGCTGGCGCCGCCTCGGCAGCCTGTGGCAGCTGCTGCTCTGCGGGGGTGGCCTCCGGCTGCTGGGCCTCGCCTGCCTGCTGCTGCGCCGCTGCCGCGGCTGCCGGCTCTGGCTGCTGGCCCTGCTCGGATGGCCGGCCGGCCTCGGCTGGTGTGCTCGGGCCCGGCGGCGGCGGCGGCGACGGCGGCGGCGCGAGCAGGCTCGCCGCCGCCGCCTGCACCTCGGCCCGCCCCAGCAGCTGCGCCTGCTGCTGCAGCACCCCAAACAGCAGCTCTGCTGCATCAGGTGCCTCGTGGCTGCCGCCGCCGGCCACCCCCTCCTCCCCGTCCTCCTCCTCCTCCTCCGCAGCCACCCGCTGCTGCTGCACCGCGGCATCCTCCACAGCCGCCAGCGCCGCAGGCAGGGCACCTGCCCCGAAGAAAGCGGCGCCCCAGCGCTGCTGCGCCGCGGTCGCCACCATGCCCGCCGCGGGCACCTGCTGCACGGCGGTGGGCAGGCCCAGCACCAGCCGCAGCGCGCGCTGCACAGCCGCGGCGTCCTCCTCCTCCTGCGGGCCGACGGACGGGCGGGGCAGGGAGCAGGCGGGCGAAGGGGCAACTCTTCAGCTGCTTGGCGCTGGCGGAGGCTAGGCAGGCCTGCTCCCATCACAAGACCGCAGGCAGCCTGCGCCAGCGCCCAGGCAGCGACCTAAATCTGTCCCAGTGCACCCTGCTCTGTAGCGGAGCACCCTACTGCCCACCACCAGCACCCCCCTGAGGCAGGCAGCCCCGCTGGTCGCACCTGGAACAGCGCCACGCAGTGCTGCTCCTCGCCGCCAGGCACCGGGAACAGCAGGCGCAGCATGACCGGCCCCTCGCCCGCCTGCTGCGTCAGCGCCCACAGCTGCTGGCAGGCCAGCAGCGGCGCGGCAGCCGCCGCCGCCGCAGCTGCGGTCGCGGCGGCTGCGGCCGATGCTACCGCGGCGGCCTCCTCGTGCGCTGCATGCTTTGCTGCTGCCGCCTCGGCCGCCGCCTCCTGCTGCGCCTTGTGCTTTGCTGCGCTAGCCGCACGCATGGCTGGCTCTAGGATTGTGGAGCACCATTCCTCCCCGCCCACAGCGCCCGGCACGCCAGCCTCTGCGGCCTCTGCAGCTGCCAGCTTCGCGACGCCCGCGCCGGCTGCAGGGCTGGGCTCAGCCGGCGCGGCCTGCTCATCGGCACCTGCGCGTGGCTGCTCCGCTGCAGGCGCTGCCGCAGGCGCTGCCTCGATCGCCGCCGCTGCTGCTGCTGGCTCTGCTGCTGCTGGCTCTGCTGGCTGCTCTGCTGCTGCTGCTGCTGGGGGCAGGGCTGCATCCCCCGTTGCCTCCGCCGCTGGTTCCTGCGCTGCTGCGGCGGAGGCCGCCGCCTCCGCCTCGTGGCTGGCTTGGACGGCGGCCAAAGAAAGCACCGCGTCGCCGCCGCCGCTCGGGGCGCCTGGCGGCTTGGCATACTGGCCCAGCAGGTCCTTCACGCTGGGCACGCTGGGCATGCCACGCTGGCCCTTGCCGCCGCCGCCGCCGCCGCGGCGCTTGGCCTTGCCGCTGGAGCCGCCGTCGGCGCGTCCATCTGGCAGGTCTGCTGGCTGCAGGATGTACCGCCGTATCGCGGATCCCAGGAGGAAAGCGCCGACGGTGATGATGGTCAGTGCGGCGGCAAAGGCGGGCAGCGTCTGGCGGGCAGCCACCTCCTCGGCCACGCCTGCAGGGCGGGGTGGCAGGCCGTGGGAGCAACCAGAAGGCCAGGGCTGAGCAGAGGCCGGGTTGCAGCGATGCAAGGCAGGCCGGAGTGCAGGCAGCCAGCAGCGACAAAGGGAGCGAGTTCCGTCCTGGCAGCGATCCCCACGCCTCCCGCTGCCGCGCCCAGCCCAGCTTGCCTGCGCCCGGGGGCGGCACCGCCTGCTTGACCTGCCGCTGGGCTGGCCGCCCGCCGCGCTCCGACACGGCTGCTGCCGTCAGGATCTCATCATCTGTCGCCTCGCCGTCGCTGCAGCCAGGCAGGCAGGCACGCAGGGGAGGAATGCATGAGGTCAGAACGCCCAGGCGCAATTGCCTGGATTGGCAGAGGCACAGGCGGCAGGCGGCGCACGCACAGGCGATAGGGCAGCGGCGGCAGGGGCACTGCCGGCTGCTTTCGGCGGCGTCGCGGCGGCCGCCATCCGCTCACCTGTTGCCCCATGGCGGCGTCCAGAAGGCTGTCACCCGCAGGGGTCTGCGCCGCGGAAGCCTGCAGCACGGCCTCCGAGCAGGGCCTGGCCTGGCCAGGAGGCTGCCGCTGCGAGAGATCTGCATGCAGCGCTATCAACAGCTGTGCAGTCCCAGCTCGATGGGGCCCACGCGGCGATGGCGGCGATGGCCGACCCGCCAATCTGCCGCAGTTGCCGCTTTTGCGTGAGCTGTAGAAGGCTCTGAGTCAGATGTGCTTGGGAAGGAGGTGCGATTACAGGCAGATCTACTGCAACCACTCGGCTGAGCTGGCGGCGGCGGCGGCGGCGGCGGCGTAACACCTGGACGGGACTCCCCTCATGCCGCTATGCATCGGCGTTAGCTGGTGGCTGCAGTCAGCACCAGGCCGCCTGCCGCCATGCAGGTGAGGGGCAGCCGCATGCGGATGTACCAGGGCGGCAGCAGGCCCTTCTTGGCCCATGCCCTGTCCACGGCATACACCACCCCCAGCAGCATCGCCTGCAGGAGCGGCAGCCAGGCAGGCAGGCGGCACGGCAGGCGCACAGTCAGGGAGCGAGCCAACATGTGACGGCGCAAGGGGAGGATTGGCAGCGAACCGTGCGACAGCAGAGAGCAGCAGTGGGGCTGCGTCGCCAGCTAGCACGCATGCGAGGGAAGGCTTGCCTGGATGCCTGCCGCCTGGGCAACCGGCATGGCCACAGTGGGCCAGGCCATGAGGCAGGGCAGCACGCTCCATAGGTACCGCTGATCCGCCATCCTAAACGCCACGTCGCCTGCGCACACAGGGGGGGCGGGAGCAGGGAGGCAGGGATCAGGGAAGCACGGCAGCAGCAGGGACGCGCGGCCGCAGGCAGAAGCAGCCGCAGGTGCCCTTCATCGGCTGCTTTCCCTCTCCAAGTGTTTCGTATCGCCCCAGTCGACCCTCCATAGCCAACCCTCCACCCTGGTCAACCCTCCCTCCACCCCTGTCAACCCTCCACCCCGATCAACCCTCCCTCCACCCCGTCTCGCACCCACCTCCCACGTTTGTCATGGCCAGCCCCCAGTGCACGCCACCCAGGAAGGACAGAATGGTGGCGCCGTAGCCCACTTGCAGCAGCCCCGTGCTGGCCAGCATGGACGGCTCCAGCAGCAGGTCCAGCGGCAGCAGCGGTGCCACGGAGGGTGAGAAGACCCAGAACGGCAGCGCGCCTGCGGCGGCGCCCGGGCACGACGCGTAGGCAGCACAGCGCAGGGGCGCGGCAGGCTGCTGCAGCCTGGCGCAGCGTGGGAAGCTGGCCACCAGGCCCAGCATGCCTCCCCATGCACCAGGTCTCGCCGATGATCGAGCAAAATGCAAGAAAGGCAGGACAGCACTGCAAGCACTGCACCTGAGAAGCCAAGGAACTTGGTGACTGCAGGCACGCCGGTGCTGGGCTTCTGCTGCGCTGCCTTGGCGGCCCGCGCGGACAGCGCGCCAACCACCACGCTTTCCGTGGCACCTGGCGGGAGGTGCTGGGCGCTGCCGCTGCTGCTGGGGGGCTGCTCCGCCAGCTGCGCCGCCGCCGACGGGTGCAGCGCCTGCAAGCGGCGGGCGGGTGGCGGCGGCGGCGGAACCCTGTGGTGCCTGTTGCACTGCGGCGGCAGCACTCGGTTACAAATCGATCCGGCGAGAGGCCCCGCTCACCCGTGTCTGCTGCAACGCCCGCCAGCAAGCGGGCTGGCCCTCAGTCAGGGCGTCCTGCAGCAGGGCCTGCACCACAGCAGGGTGTTTCCGGTTGATCGCGGGCAGGTGCGCCTCCTGATCATTTTGGCTGATGGCTCAGGCACAACCCTTGCCCCAGCGGGGAGCCCGCACCTCGTGCCGCCGTGCAAGCGCTGCAGCAGCCCTCCGCAGCATGGTGATCTGGCGGGTACGTTTTGGGATAAGCAGGAGAGCGCAAGGCGGCAACCAAGCTGCGACGCCACGTGTACCTCGGTTTCTTGCTATCTGTTTTGCCTTGGACTCCACCTTCTTTGAGTTCCAATTCCCGACCTCCCTTAAGCTCGTCCAATTGCCTGCAAGGAGCCACCAGCCTACACCCGCCCCAAGCCGGTCACGGGTCGCTCCAGCCGAGCTCTGACCAGCGCACTTCGCCTTTACAACACAGCTGCGCGCTGTGTCGCTCCGGCACGCCTTCCCGCATCCAAGGCGCGGACTGTTGACCACCCGCCCAGCGGCGCCGCCACCCGCCGACCCCCGATGACGCAGTCGTTTGACAACCGAGCCTCCTCGGAGCGCCCCGACCCAGCCCAGTACCTGCGCAAGCGGGAGGGCAGCCCGGGCGGGCTCAAGCCCGCGCCCAAGCCGCAGGGCGCCGGCGGCAGCCCGCGCGCCGCCGCCGCCGCCGCCGCCGGCCTCATCCCGGCAGCTCGCGGCGGCAGCCCCACCCTCGCTGGGCAGGCCAAGACGCAGCGCTCCACCCTGTTCCGGCGCATGTATGAGCGCGGCGACCTGCCGGTGCGCGTGGAGCAGGCACGGCACAACACCATCAAGTGGACCGCTGACCTGCCGGCCATCGACCTGCACTACTACCTGCCCGTCTTTGTGGACGGCCTGCTGGAGACACAGGTGGGGTGGCAGCCCTGTAAGGATGGAGGGTGGGTGGGGGCTGGGTGGTGGGGTGAGATGAAGGAGGAGGCCCACTGCTGGACAGCAATCAGCCGTTTGTGGGCCGAAGAAGCGGCAGTTCCACTGCTGCATGGGGCGAGCATGTTAGGTTACCCCGACGGCACTGCAGCGGGTGCCTGCTCACCTCCCCCACATCTCTCGGCGCCCCACCACCCTGCACTCGCCCCTGCACACTCACACACACTCACACACAACACGCAGGAGCCCTTCCGCATGCTGGCCCGGCGTGGGGTGGAGGAGATGGTGCAGGCCGCGGGCGGCGACCGCCTGCTGCCCGTCATCCCGCAGCTCATCGCCGGCCTGCGCGCCGCGCTGCGCTCGCCCAGCGAGGAGGTCGTCCAGGCGGCGCTGGCCGCGCTGCGCCTGCTGGTGGGCAGCAGCGAGGCGGCGGGGCTGGTGCTGGTGCCCTACTACCGCCAGCTGCTGCCGCCGCTCAGCA